CATCCTGCCTACCAGCCCATTTGATATGGGTGGTTCAAAAATAAAATGTAGGTTGTTGAAGCTGGTGTGAACTCTCTTTTGTAACTGAAGCCTTTGAATTAAGTCTTCAGTTTGCCTGAAATCTCTTAGATGCTTCATATATCTCTGTTTCTGGCATTGAGTATGGTTATGCCTGGAAGCCTCCTGCAAAGGTAGGTAGGGTGGATGATGTATTTATGTGGATATTTTGTTTCAGTTCTTGCATTAAGAAATACTGTGTTATATGTGCACACGTCTGGTACCTTTGCATCTGAAGCGTGCATCGATGAGCTTGGCTAGATGAAAATAAGCTCTGGTCTGTGAATTCTTAGATTACTGGGAAGAACAGAAATTCCCAACTTCCTAACTGCACTTGAATATCACTGTTCTGAAACTGCTGTGGTTCGGTTTCCATGAACAGATCCAAAGTTGTATGTGACGTCTTTCATACAGCTGAAGAGAAGATGATTACAAGTTCAATTCCAAGTTCAACAGTGGTATTTGAAATTGGTTGAACTGATTCAAAACTGCTTGAGGCATTTGATGCTTATGGCCTTTAAAATGACCTTTTTCCTTTTGTGCTATTTTGTACTAATATATTAAAAATGTAACACCTCTTTTTTGCCAATTAATCTAATTGCCTTTTTAATTGATCTTGTTAAACTAATCTGAAAAAGTGTACAGATGGAAGTGTCAATCTGTATTTTATAAAGTTCTTGTACACTCGACTGATAGAGAATGCACTGTTTACATGGTGAGTGATGAAATATTTGGGAACAATCCAGCTGTAAGCATAAATGGATTTCAGAATTATAACTGTGCAGCCAAAATAAAGGTCTTTTAAAGAGTACTTTTTCCTAGTAGTTCCTTTTTCCAGATTCCATCTTTACAAGCTCAGCTGTCATCTTTGCCTTTATATAAATGATTGAAACTTCTCTGAACAGCTCCAGAGTGTGTGCCTGTGGCTGCCTTTGTGCTGTCCGTGAGGCTGGGGCTCCATTTACCCTCACTTGTTAAATAACCACCAGGTATGCTTTGGGCCACTACCAGTTGGGGCGAGGCTGGCACTAGTGATGCTAATGCGGTTGTGTTTTTCCAGACTACACTAGTCTAAGCAAGAAGAGCAGTCGGCATTTTGGCTGGGGAGCTTTCTTGCTAGTGACGTGTCTAAAACTGACTTTGGAAGTTTCTTGATGTTAATGTTTAGCAAAGTCTTCAAGCTGTTGCAAACAGGTGCAGAGGAATAGTCTGATCCTACTTGCCCAGGAGACCCTCTCCTCTATTGCAATACCTCATACTGCTTCTGTCACTGGCTTACTGATTCCACTGACATTCCAGGGAAGGAAAAGCAGCACTTCAGCAGCAGATCTTCAGCTCTGACTCCTGCAGATCAGAAATTCTGTCTATGCTTAATACTTGTCACACTTCTTACGCATTGCAATTTGTCTCTTTGTTTTTCTGCTGGGTGGGTTTCTACTGTAAAAGGCTTACTGAGTTGAAGAATTTTGCTCATCTTGGGATGGAATGGTGTATTTACTGTTTGCCTGTTTACCTTATAGAGGGATGAATACCCTCCTCACTGGGTTTATCCAGCAGTGACTGCAAAGCAGCATAACCAGTACATCCAGCTTCACCCATCAGGAGCTGTTGAGAATCAGGCTGGAAGCAACAATTTTGAGTGACTTGGAAATCCCACAAGTTGCACTGCGTTGCATTTCCAAGAGCCTTGCTGCAACTGGCTGCCCCTGCCCTTGTTCTTCTGTGTCTCATTTTCCTGCATGTCTTTGTTTCCCGCAAGCAGTCAGCTCTTTGGTTTCAAAGCCACGCGCCTGTTCGCTGTTCTCTGGTGGCAGTGGTTTGGGCAGTGTCGGGAGAGCGCTGCCGAGAGCCACGGTGAGCGCGTTGCGTGCTTGCAGTTGTGACCTCCTGCTCACAAAGACTGCTTATGGGTTGGGGTGGGCCTCCCCTACGTGCTTTCAGACCCAAGATTTCTTCCTGTCTTGAATCCCAGCGGAGGAGGGGACACTGGAGCCCTGTATCTCTGTTGAAGGGCCAGCTGTCAGAAGTCATGGGGCTGCGTTCGCCTGGGCAGCCCGAGGGGGGCTGGCTGGTTCCGGGCGGCTCCTACTGCGGCTGCAAAAGGGGTGGTGGGGGAGTCAGCACTGGAGTGTTTACACGCAAGCTCCTGTACCTGTTGGAGACACCAGCCTGCAAGGTCCTAATTGCTCATTAGGAATCTTGGTGCTGTTAATTTTCAAACTTGATTAGGCAGAAACAAAGTGCTGGGAGGTTTTGTATTTAGAGTGTCCGTGGTAGAGGGCATAAATACTCCTTTTGGAGTGGCTCTTAATGGAGCTCTTTTTGCTTCCCTCCCCTGCACGCATATGCTCTTAAATGTACAAAATGCAATTTCCAAGTAAAGAAAGCACTTTGATATCTATTAAGAACCCAGTAAAACATCTGGACGTAACATGTAATTGTCAATGTTTTTAGAACAAAGATTTTGGCTCTTCCAAATTATCCACCGCTCTGTCAGATTAGCAAGGCCAAAAAATGCAATCAAAGCACCCTTGGTTTTACTGAAGGAACACACTAAGAATAGTTCCTTTGTAGTTATCTTAACCCCACACCAGGGGTGCTTCTCTGTTGTTTGTTGCCTTTTGAAAGACCTGAAAATCACAGGGGCAAACAGCTTTTTAAAAGCCTTCCCCCCGCCACTCCCCCCTTGGAAATTGTTCTTGATGATCAGCAGGGTGTACAATATCCCCCAGCTAACTTCATCCCCGAGAACCTTCTTAAGTCACCCACGCGCACACGGTGCTGCGTGTAGTCGGCAGAGGTGTTTGATGTCAGTGGTATGGGCTAGGGTTTGAGCATCAAAAGTAGTTTGAAACCATGAAAAAAACATTGTTAACCTTGGGAAGTAAGGGGTCAGGAGGTGGGGGAGGCAGATAATGACATAATCTGTTAGTGAAGTTTGTCGGATCAAATGCTCTTGTAGTCGATCACCAGTTCGGGATGTTTCAAGGACTGTTTGTGTTGCTGGGTATCGCGTTTGGAAGAGGTGGCTTGCTTTGCTTTTTAGTTCTGTCTGAACCTATTTCAGGAGCAGAAGGTTAGTGAGAGAGGAAAGAGCAGAGCTCTCTGGCTGCTGGGTATCCGTCAGCGTTGATGACTTTCTGTTTGTTATGCTACCTGCAGTGCCAAGTGAGGCTTAAGTGCATACCATGCAGCTTTCCCTTTCAGTCTGCAATTCAGTCCAAATCTTTCATCCAAAGCTGTTGTGGAGGAGGAGTAATTATTCTCTGATGAAGTGCTCACCTGCAGAGCCATTCTGGATGCTATTGCAACACGAAGTTGCAAGAATAAATATCTGAAAGTGATCAGCTTTTGGACATCTTTGTCCTTGCCCTGTCTCTGATGGTGCTCCTGAAGCTGTTTCTATAACTTAAGCTTAAATAAGACATTCATTTAGTTTCTTGTGTGTCCTGGACATTCAGGGATAAAGGAAGTCAAGTGTGCACAACAGTAAGGCACTCTACAACCCTAAAGATAACCAGAAAAGTAACAAAATGTTCCTTTTCAAAATGCCTGCTTATTCTCTCAAGTAGAACATCACGAGAGCACCAAATGATGCCATCATTTGCTATTTATACAACTGATTCTCTACTTTTTCTGTTGACTGTTTTGAGAATCTAGACTTGAACACAGCTGAAGTGATGTGTTCTGTTCCTATTCCAAATATCAGAAAGGTACTCTGGTACTTAGAGATATGGAGCGAGTCCAGAGGAGGCCACGAAGATGCTCCGAGGGCTGGAGCACCTCTGCTATGGGGACAGACTGAGAGAGTTGGGCTTGTTCAGCCTGGAGAAGAGAAGGCTCCGGGGAGACCTTATTGCAGCCTTCCAGTACCTGAAGGGGCTACAAGGAAGCTGGGAGGGACTTTTTACAAGGGCCTGTAGTGACAGGACAAGGGGTAATGGGTTTAAATTGAAAGCGGGGAGGTTTAGATTGGTTATCAGGAAAAAGTTCTTCCCGGAGAGGGTGGTGAGGCACTGGAACAGGTTGCCCAGAGAGGTGGTAGGTGCCATTTTAAATGCTAATACACCTTCCCACCTTTACTCAGGAAAGGAAAAGCTGCTGGAGCTATTGCTGTAGCTGTCAAGCTTGCAGCATAGGAGGGAGGACTCAACTGTGCTAAGACCTGCAGTGAGTGCCTCAGCAACATCTTCAGCTTCTCCTGAGCCCTGACCACTGGATGGACCTTTCTCTAAAGGAGGTAAGCAGGGACAAGGAAAGGACCCTTTTTAGCTCTAAATAACGTCAGCGGGCAGCTTGCAGAGAGGGTACGTGAATATATTCCCTGCCATCTGTGTCGTGCTTGCTCCCTCCCACGTATGTCTGGATGTTCTCCCTGCAGAGGAAACTGAAAAGCCAAAATGGGTGCCCAGAGCCCAGCACGAGAGAAGAATTAGACCTCCCTGTCTCGTGCTCTTCAAGAACTTCTCTGCCACAAAATGTCGCTGAAATAGTGAGATGCCTCATTGTCTGATACGCCATTCCCTGACAGCTCTTCTTCAACCAGATAAAAAGCAAGTATAATCTTGGAGACTAGCCACTCTGTTGTCAGGGAGAATTAGGCTGAAGAAGTT